AAAAAAAAAAACCAAAACACAAAAAAGCCATGTGTCAAAAATATGAATAGTCAAAAGTGTTAAACTGATAACCACATTTACAAATATGACAGATTTTAATATATGAAAAATGATTATATAATCACACACATATCAATGGAAAAACAGGCAAAGGATATGAACAAACAGTTCATTAAGAAAAATAGCCAATACATAGTTTGACAAGCCCGCTGATAATTTTTAAAATGTGAATTAAAAAATGTAAGATACCATTTTTGCCTCCCCGACCATCAAAGATTAAAATCAGCATTACTGGCTCTCGCTAACTCAGGGTGTGGCGGACAATACGCTGATGGGGTTGAATCTGTACAAACCACCTGGAAGGCACTTTGGTGATGGAGCAAATGTAATCTGGTAATGGGTAACTTTGATCAAGTGGTAATGGGTCAAAAGGTTTAAAAACATGCATTCCTTTTATTGAAATATTGTTTAGGAATGCATTCTAATACAATGATCAGTTGAGGTACAAAAAATGTAACTATGGGACTATTCAACGTAGTGTTGTTTCAATGGGGGATCATTTCTGTAAGTTACAGAGTATCTTTATGACAGAATACTACACAGATGCTAAAAATATGGAGGCATATATGTTGACACATTCAAGAAATACTGCTCTGTGGGGAAAGCATCATTAAAGACCTTGTATTTGTCAAAACACGTGCATTGGGACATGCGTGTATGGAGAACGTCTGGAAGGACTGACCACGGAACAAAGCGGTAGTTAGCCGTGGCGAGAGGATTGTAAGTAGTGGGTCCCCCTCCTCTGGCTTCTCTGTATTTTCTATTGCAAGAAAACAATTCTGTGAAACAATTGTAAGGGATGTTAAGTTATAAATGATAACTACAGTGAAGCAGGAAAGAAGGTCAGCTACAAACCACAGGTACACAACAGTGCTCAATAAGAAGCCAGACAACAGAAAATACAGTAAATGCTGTGTTAGAATCGATGGGGTGATGGCTGATGCAAAAATCTTTTTCTTTTGCAAATTTCCAATGATGTACTTTTTGTAATTAAAATAAAAGTGGGAAACCTTCCAGAAGAAGTAAGTGGTCAGTCCTGCTAGAATGAGCCTATGACAGAGATTATGTAAAACCCGCCCACTGTAAGAGGCTGTAACCTGAGGGTTCAACTCCTACTCTCCTCCCCAAGAGCAAGAAAGAAAATAGGGGCAGCTGTGTGCACACCGTACCTTTGCCAGCAGCGTTTTCCCACAGCCGGGGGGACCAGCCAGGAGGACCCCAGCGGGAGTCACCAATCCAAGAGCTCTGAACCGATCGGGGTTGCGCACCGGTGCCTGTAAACAACAAGGCCCACGTCAGTTGTTACAAATGTCCACTCTGTACTGCATGTACAAATGATCTCGATGCACGCTGCCAACACAGGCGACAAATACGTGAATCCCTGCTCTTGAGGAAATCACTTAAACATAAGTCCTGAAAACGTTTTAAACATAAGGATACAATACTTCAGCATCTTAAAATCATGTTGTTTTTTTTTAAGCTACCTAAATTCCCAGGTTATAAAGCTTTCATGCAGGGCGGTGCCATGAGGCTCAGAAGCGGGAGTGCCCTGCGTGGTCAGGGGACACAGACACATGCCGTACCCCTGCTCTTTGCTTTCAGCAGGCCCACACCTCAAAGCAGAGCATCCTTCATTAACGAGCCACAGAATGCTCAGGAAAGTAGAAAAGTACACGTGATGAAAATTAATCCGAAGTTTCATGGGCACTAAACCGCTTTGACCCGTAGAGGGTGAGCGAGTTGGGAAAATATTTCTGTCGGCTCTTGGTTGAAACCTACATTTTTTTTTCGTCCACTGCCAAGAATTCAAGCACAACCATGAGAATAAGTCTAAAACAGATGTCAGAAGAATGAGAAACCACTGCTGGATGCTTAATTAGAATCTAACAGGACCCATGGAAGAAAGCTACAGCCAGCCCGTTGAGACACGCTGCCTCGCGCACACGCCGGGCGCCCAGCGGCAGACACACCTACCAGTATGGCCATGGTGAGCTCCTCCCGGATATCTTCCAGGGCGCCGATATCTGCCCAGGTCACGTTGGGGACAGTGACAAAGCCTTCCCTTTTGGCAGAGGGTTGGACGGAGGCCAGGGCAGCAGTGAAATCACCCCATTCGATGCACAGCCCCTGCAGCTGCTCCTCGGACAGGGGCTCGTGGCTCCTCAGCAGCTCCAGCAGCCGCTGTAACTCCTCCTGACCGGGAGCGATTGAGGGGGAAGATGAAGAAACGTGAAGTCTGTTGACAAAGTTATTTCGTACCTTTAAAAACTGTTACTGCGGTATTTCTTTCAGCCATAACAAGCCGAAAGGGGCAGGTCCCCTGACTGGAATGGAATGCAGGAGGATGGCCAGGGACCACCAGCAGCTGATCATGTTTGTGTCCACAACCACCAATTCCCACATTTCATTTATAAGGAATCGAACAGCAGCTCAACTCTGATGGAATTAAACGGAAGTTACGCCGGTGGGAGCCTCATTCACAGCACGGCTCCCCAGGGGCTTGTCCCCCACACAGAGAGCAGGCCGGCGTCCTAGGACTACACTGAACCTTGAGCTTCAAAGGCAGATTTTTTTGCTTTGTAAAGAATTTTATGAAAGGACCTATGAACAGTAACTGAGTAATTCAATTCATAAAATCCCAACTTACGTACATTATGTAAGGACTATGCTTATTGTGAATTTTAACAGATACAGTTGTGGTTCCAAATGAGTGAGGAGGTAAAAGACATCTGAAACCACAGACCAAGATGCCCGCTCTGGAGAGCAGAGGCCGCGTGGCTCGGGCAGGCCACGGTCTCTTACGTTTAGCCCCTCTGATCACAAAGCCCCGTGAAGCCCCCAAGAAAACCATCAAGTGCTACACAAACATTGTGCTGAGCTTCATGACTCACACAGCTCACGGCTGCCGCGCGGACTGTGCCAGTGCCCGTGACCAGAGGGTAACCAGGAAACAGGACCAAGTGCCCAGTGCTCTCACAGCAGTGGGCGAACTCTCTCTGGCCAGGCCTGCAGGGTAAACACTGTAAACTCAGTAAACACTTCCCATGTGAACTGAGAAGCGTGACAGCAGGGAGACGATGTGTAAACACGGCTGTGTCCCCCCGTAACTTCCGTGTCCATAACAGGCAGCGGGCAAGCAGCCCACGGCTCGCCAACCCCTGCCTCCCCAATTTCATAATCCATGCTGTAAAAGGAACTTATTCAGGATCAGCTAAAAAGTAAAACAACTTGTACTTGGGAAACCACAGCCATTCTGGGTGTGACTGATCATCACACCGATAAAACCGAAAACCATACACCTCAACTCCACCGACACCTGCTGCGTGGCTGACGTCAGGACTGGTGAAGGTACCTGCACAGGAAGCGCTGGTGTCCCAGCAGCGGGCTCGGTGCCCATCCGGTCTTCCCGGCCTTGTCCGGACGGCAAACCCGCAGTCACGGGATCCGGGGGCAGGTGCTCCTGCAGCACCGTCAGGACCCTGCTGACCGTACCCATGGCTGCCTCTCGGCACAGCGCCATCAGGTCCGCACCAACGAAGCCTGGCGTCAGGCGTGCTAACTGACGGAAAGGGAAACTTTCCGGAAGTCTAAGTTTTCTGCACAAAGTTCGAAGTATTCTGTAGGAAAGACAAGGGCAAAAAAATTCAGATTACTGACCCACCCGTCAAAACAAGTTACTGTTTATTTGAGGTAAATTCTGCTTTGAGAGTAGATTAAATGGACATCTGCCAGAAATAAAAGCCACCAGACTCAAGTAAACCATCAGTTCTATCCTCCAGAGAAAGCTAGGTTGATACACATCTTAACACCCCGTTTCACATTAGCACAGTTACTTCTCCGACTTCACCATACCGCACGTGTGAGAAAGCCCGCTCACCTGAAGCGGCACCAGGTAGGGCCAGGGAAACGAGGGCCTCCAGGTAATGACCATCAAAGGAGGACCTCAGACAGTTTGCGGTAAGAGCTCGTGAAGAAACCCACAAGCCGTACAATCAGCATGGGAGCTCGGAAGCTGGCTTGGCCGCTCGCCAGCCTGGGCCCGTCACTGCCCTGCGCACTTGGGTTCTGTCGCTTGTTAGCTATGAATTATAGTAGCACTCACTCGCAGGGGTGTCGGCCTGAGCCCAGCTAAACCCCCAGAACGGTGGCTGAGCTCCGGTGAGCGCCCAAGTGTCAGTTACCACGATTCACATACTGTGATGTTACCGACGAAGTTCGACAGGGAAATAGTCTGGAATTTCCAAAGTTGTAGGGCAGAGGAGTATTTTCAAATGTCAAGCCGATGGAGAATAAGTCCCAGAAAAGTCACTTGAGATCATGTAAGTGAACAGAAAAGCAGCAGATAAACATTACTGACCAATGAAAAATCACTCACTCAGACACTCTACACAACAGAAAGCAAAAAAAGGTTCCAGCGTAAAACCATTTTCACATGAAAACTAAGATATTCAGAATGTTAGGAGAAAACACAAATAAGTATCCTGTTCTGTTACAACTTCTGTTTCTGAAAATATGTGGATATTTCTGGTCACCCTGGAAACTCCAAAGGAGGGGAAATTACCCAGGAAGAGATTTCCAGTTTCAAGATGGTAAAGTGACTGTTGCAGAAACACTTCCTCTGCCTAGAAAAACAACAAGAATCGGAAGCACAAAATCCATAGTCCATGGAACCAGGAGGCGTCTGGACTCTTGCCACCCCGAGCCCAGCCCGTTCTGGAAGGGAGCCACAGGAACGGGCAATAAGAGCATCAGTCTTTATTTGTATGAGGTCCTTCAAAAGCCGTCACCACTGGTCTTCGGCTCCAGGCTCCAGGGCAGCTCCATGTAGAGAGAGGTATTTATGCTGCTAGGACACTGAGGGGATGGGCGTTCGGAGGGTTCTGATGCTTGCTTACATGTCTTACTACCTAAGAAAAGAAAGGCCCCCCAACACAGGTCTCTCTGTGTCAGCTCTAGCTGATGCCATAAAAATCCCCTAGAAAAGATTCAAATAGTAGGAGTTCCCAGAATAAATGATCCAGGTTTAATGCTGTATTTGACTATAAACAGGATGAATTTTAACTCATTTTTAAAAAATACACCTTTTATTTTGGAAGTTTTAGATTTACAGAATTATTGCAGACAGTACAGAGTTCCATATACCCCACACCCGTCTCCTACTACTATGGGCAATTCTGAGGATTACTGGCCCAGAATTTTGTAGAGGACCCCTCAATGGGATTAGTCTGATATTTTTATGGTGATTAGACTAAGTTAACGTGTTTTCGGGAAGAAGAGCGCAGAGGTGGAGCATTGTTCACACCCCTCACCACAGGGACATGAACCCTGACCAGCAGGCTGGACACCATGTTTGGCAAGGTCTCTGCTGTGAGGTTGGTCCTTCCCGCTTCCACACTGTACTCTTTGGAAATAAGTCACTACGCCCAGCTCGCATTCGAGGAGTAGGGAGTTAGACTCCACTCCTTCAGGGAGGTGCATCCACATAAATCATCCAGAATTCTTCTGCACCAGAGAATTGCCTCTTATTTCTTTATTCAGTCATTTATTTACATCAGCACAAGCCAAGCGATGCTTGACTGCCCATACTCTTAAACCACCATTTATGAAGAAACCAAGTGGATGATAAATGACCTAGGAGCGGGGACAAAGTCAGATTAACCTTCCTCTGAGAGGTGCACTAATAAGGAAGGAGGAGATATGTCTGGTGAACCCCAAAGAGCGGGGAATGGAGGCATCGAAGTGCTGGGCGGCAGAAACGAGGGCCACAGCGGAGCCCCAAAACCAGCAAGTTCCAGACAGCCTGCGTGAGAAGCACTAAGACCCCACATCCTCTGCACGCCCTGTCAGCAGGATCCCTGGAGTGCGCTGTCCGCCAAGCCTGAAGCAGGAGAGGGGAGGTCCGGGTGCGCAGACGATCGCAAGCCCCTCCACCAGGAAACCGGGGTGTGCGATCCTGCACTCCTTCCCTGCCCATATCAGGAGTCCAGCAGCTACAGCAGCTAGACCTGTGGCCCGCGGTGCTGTCTGCTTCTGAAAAACCTGAAGTGACTCAACAAAAAGCATCTATGAAATGGACAATGGAGTTTTCTAGCTAAAATGTTAGCTGGTCATCTGAATGCTTTATAGTGACACTCAGGCTTCAACAAAACCGCTCCCACCGCGGGCATCCCATCGGCCTCACTTCGAATGGTCGGCCACGGTGGGCCACTCGAGGAACGCACCCACAGGAAATGACACTGCTCCATCCATCGTCAGGACTCCCAGCACAGCAGGCACTGTTGCTCAGACTGTGCCCGTGATGTTCCTCACCGCCTCTCCCTGCGACACAAGGCACAGGACAGACCAGAACACGCACGCAGGTAGATGCGGAGGAAACAGAGAATGTAAAGAAGTTGCAAGAGGGTTAACAAATGAAAACAATACGGCAATTATGAATTCCAGAACAGTTAAAATGGTGAAGAAAGGTCATATGATCCTGATATAGGACTTGGGTCAGCAGGGAACAATATTTATACAGAGGAGAAATGAAAATGCTAAATACGGTTATACTCCAAATTCACAATACGATTATACAGTACAAACCTGTGACTATAGATTGGATATCAGATACATTAAAGAACTATTTGTGAGGTATATAATGGCACTGCACAGATGTTATATTAAAAGTCTTTCATTAGACACTGGAGCATTTATAGTTGGAATGACACAGTGCCTGGACTTTGCCTTTAAAACGCTCCAGCAGGGGCGCCTGGGTGGCTCAGTTGGTTAAGCAACTGCCTTCGGCTCGGGTCATGATCCTGGAGTCCCGGGATCGAGTCCCGCATCGGGCTTCCTGCTCGGCAGGGAGTCTGCTTCTCCCTCTGACCCTCTTCCCTCTTGTGCTTTCTATCTCTCATTCTCTCTCTCTCTCAAATAAATAAATAAAATCTTTAAAAATAAATAAATAAATAAAACGCTCCAGGAAAAAAAAAAGTGGGGGATAAACAGAACAAGACTGAAATGGTGATAATTGTTTGAAACTGGGTGACGAGACATGGGGTTCACTGTTGTGAGGGTTTTAAAGCATGTCTGTACGGTCCTGAGCGTCCTCTCACTGGGAGGTGGGGTCTCCAGCCCCTCTTCAAGTCTGGGCCAACCTCTGTGGCTGGTCAACAGCACAGGACAGTGGGAACAGAGGCTGCCAGACTGCCCAGCATGAACCATACGGCCCTGAGGCCCCCCGGCTCTGAGAAGCCCACAGAGTCCCGTGAAGGGTGCCACACAGACAGGGGAGGAGGGGACAGACACACAGACAGCAGAGCCAGACTGGATAGGCAGGTGCATAGATAAGCCCAGCCCAGTGGCTCGGAGCGCCAGCTACCGTCTCTGCAACCACACAACACCCTGAGATGAACCCAAATTCTTTACCCATGGGACTGGTGAGAGACAATGAAATGTTGTTGAAAGCCACTAAATTTTTCAGTGGTTTTTTCTGCAGCAACAGAAACTGGAACAATTATACCAGACTGCTTCGTATACACTGGACTTTTCCATAACGAAATGCTTTTAAAGTCCAGGAAGACATCAATAGCTACCTTAGAATTCCTATGTGTCGGAGGCTGTGCGAGGTACGTTAACGCAGTCCTCACAAGAAGGCTTTCCAAAGTTCCGGTACCGTTACCGTCTTACAGATAAAACGAGGCACTGTTATCATTATTCCTTTATTACAGGTAAACAAACGAAAGCTAGAAAATGTCAGCTATCCAGGAAAAGGGACAGGGACATGTGGCCAAGCTGGCTCTACCTCTGAGACCACATGTCCGAGCACCCTGCGCTCGGTCCACCATCTCCCGCGAACCTGCTCTGGACCTCAATGTATACCTGAGGTCGCCCCTCCTCAGCAGGTGCTCCTCTTTAAACAACTCAGACCCCAGGGCCTCTATTTTCTTTCTTAAATTCTAAATCTTGGTTCCCTCCTTGCCTGAACCTAGACTGTTGAGCATTACTCTGGGAAAGAAACCCCAAGACCAGGCCTACTGGTGCCATTCTACACCCCAATCCTAAACACTGCCTGAAAATCCCGTTACCCTAGCCGGCTCATCTCAAATCATCCAAGAACATCGTTTCAGACCTTCATCCTCCTTCAGCCTCTATTGGTCACGTGCCTTTCATCAGACGATCTCATGGCTTGATTCATGGAGAAAACGCCGTTTTCCAAGTACCCCAGCGACTAGCCCCCTGGCCTCCACCCCCTTCTCTCTGCTGCTGCTCCAACAGAAGCGCCCCGGCCAGCACCCCCGGGTTCCCATTCCCCACTCCTCCCACTCACTCCTTCCCACAGCATTCCAAGGCATTCTGGTTTCTCCTATCCTATCCCCCCGGACACCCCAGTATTCCCCTCGCACGGCCACTACCTCCCTCTCCCCCTTCGCGGCCAAACCTCCCTTCGGGGAATTGTGGAAGTCCGCTCGGTTACTCCTTCTCTTTCCACTCACTCAACCACTCGACCCACCGGGATGCTGCCCGATCAGCCCACTCACAGGGCTTTTGACTCAGGCCACTGGGACCGCTAGGTGCTCGATTCCAGCAACGGTCCTCCCGCCCCCCGCCCTGCCCTCCTGCGGGGAGCACTCCCTCCCATTACACTCTCCTTTCCCCAGCACTCTGGCGGCTCCCTCTGTCCCCTCAGCCTGCCCCAGGACCTCTGACCTCTGGTCCTCGCGCTCCAGCCAATCCACTCTACTCTCAGAACTTCAGCTGCCTTCAATATGCTGAGGATTCTCCAATTTTTACTTCCTCAGAGCTCCAGACTCATCCAATTGCCAAGCTAACATCTCTACTTGGACAGCCTGTAGGCACGTCTAGCTCAGCGGCCCCAATCTGCTTTATCCTCCCTAA